AATAGATTTTGCTTCCCTCTAAGTCATCCTGTTGAATCATAGAAAGGCCCACAAGGGACTTCAAGAGACCTTCTAGTCATTTACTGCCCCAGGGGCTTCATTCTTAGTTGCTTTTCTATAAATATCTTCATGTACATTCATGCTCCTTAAGTCATGTCTTATGTCTTATTCCATTTTTCCTACATGTATAGCTTGCAGGCTATCTGTCAAAACCCTCCTTAATTCGGCAGTAACGTATGCCTATAGTAAATGTACAGAGTTACCTACAAAACAGACAGGTATAGATTTATAGGAGTGAGGAAGGGGGAATGGTTATGGCTCTAGGATTATGTGAGGATGGGAGATTTCTGATGACCTATTTTCAGCTATTTTTAGAAGGGTGCGGGTTATTTTAAGAATAGGATTAAAGACATGAAAATGTGGTATTTACTGGCACCTCAATGAGCAGTGGTAAGCAATTATGGCAGAGGAGCGGCACGGACAGAATAAATAGCTAGTAATGTTTCCTACATGACCCAACAAAAAGCTGGAAACCTTTGAGATAGAGGAAAGTCCTGTCACACCAGGAAAAGCGCTGGAGCCGAGTAACGCAGCCCGATCTGCTCCCCACATAACAACCAGCGCCACTAAGGAAAGGCGGTGGGTGATAGTAGCAGGTGACTCTCTTCTGAGAGGTACGGAGGCACCCATTTGCCGACTGGACACACTCTCTAGAGAGGTGTGCTGCTTGCCAGGGGCTCGCATCAGGGATGTCACCGGGAGGCTACCAAGCCTCGTACAGTCCACTATTACCCGCTGCTGCTGTTTCATGTGGGCACCAGTGACACAGCCAGGAGCAGTCTGAGGACTATCAGGAAGGACTACAGAGCCCTGGGAGTGGCGGTTACGGACTCAGGAGCGTAGGTTGTTTTTTCATCAATCCTGCCGGTCAAAGGGAAGGAGTTTGAAAGGGCCAGTCGAAACTGGCAAGTCAACAAATGGTTACAGGACTGGTGCCACAGCCAGGGGTTCGGCTACTTAGACCATGGGACTCGCTTTGAGAAACCTGGTCTACTGGGGGCTGACGGGGTCCATCTGTCAGAGGAGGGGAAAAGCACCTTCAGTCATAGGCTTGCCAAGCTGGTGAAGAGGGCTTTAAACCAGAGGTGCCGGGGGAGGGGAACCTCAGTCCATCCCACTCCTACCAGTTTGATGCCAGGGCCACCAATAGATGCCCAGAGCCTGGAGAAGGATCACAGGTCAGCAGGAGAGCACCTGAAGAGCAGCACAAAGGAACTCCAGCCAGTAAG